TTATAAAATAAAATTACAAAGGATTATAAAAAAATGGACAGGGAGTGCTATGAAATAGAAAAATGACTATTCTATTATTAGTTTGGAAATTGTTATCTGCAAAATCTGGTATAAAAAAATACTGTACTCTGCAGAACACAGAAATGCAAATACTAATTTGAAATTTTAAGTGCTGTAAAGGCTGATTTTGTTCATGAACTTAATACCAGTATTCAAATTTGTTCGAAAATTAATTGCAATTTTATTATTGCCCTTTACGCACCTTTTTTCTTCTTCTTTTTCTTTTCACGCTATATTCATTTTGTTTTACTGTGCAAAACGATAAGATTTATTATTTGAAATTATGATGAGTTGTAGAGAAAATTTAGATTTCGATAATTAACTTGAATATTATTAATTGTTAATAAAAAATACTACGATTGGTTGATATGTTTGCTAGAAAACAAAATTTAATCAAAACTACCAAAATATTGTAAAACTTACTTTATTTCTGGTTGTAGGGGANTATTGTAAAACTTACTTTATTTCTGGCTGTAGAGGAACACCAAAAAGCCCAGTATTTTTTAACGAAGTGGTTTAGTAATGTTTTCGGTAAAAATAACAAAAAATTTAGATTTTATAATATGAGTTGAAATGCGATAAACGTGGTAGAATTTCGTAATTTTACCATGATATTTATTATTCAGTTTTATATTTTTTACCAAATGTGAGGTTATAAGAGCTATAATTTTGAAAGCTTGAGTATCCGGTAAACTGCTATCATTTTAACAAAAAAATTACCAAATAAATGGTTTAAATACTTGGTTTTATTAACAGAGTTACGGTTTTGTTTCGAAAAAAATTTATTATCATAGAATGCGGTAATTTAAGCAAAACTTTTTCTTCGCGTAGTTAGCTGAAAGGTAATTTGGTTAAAATTTAATTTGCTGAAATAGTGGATTTATGTGTAAACTTAACAAGAATTTTGTTTTGAAATTCCAATATGTTCGAAAGCAATTGCAAATTTAAATACTCATTTGTTATATCTTTCTTAAAGTTTTTTTCTTTTTTTTGCTTTAAATATTAACTTTTTATCAATTGTCATAAAAAATTTATTTTATAAGCTTGCGCTCAATTTGTTGTCAATCGAAAGTAGCGAAGGACAGTGAGATGTTGCCTAATATCACTCTTATTATTTATATTGACATTTTTAAAAGCAATAAACTTAATAAATCTTGTTAAAACCATTCCCTATTTAAACTTTAATAAGTCTTGTTAATGATTAATATTACTTCTCATTATTTTTTTCCAATTGAATTGCACAATCTGTATTCCTTAAGTTAGTTTTTTTTTCTTCAAGTAGAGATAATAATAGATGAAAACTAATAATGGATTTCTAAAATCAATGTTGCTGCTTAAACGTAAATAAAATAAAGTTTTAAAGTTAAAGATACAATTAAGATACAATTAAAGATTAAAAATTGTGAATTTTAACGCCATAGAAAGTATAAATCTGCATAGCTAAATAGAATTTCATAGTATGAATATCATCTGTAAGAAAGTTAAAAGAACATCATTATCCTTATGAAGATAGTTAAAAGAAGTAAGTATTTAGTGGAAAAGTAAAGTAACTTCAAATTCTTGTTTAAAGTATCCAAGGCAATGAATTTGTTGCAGTTGGCTATTTAGGATTTCAAATCTTTGAGATAATTAGCTTTTAACCAAAAATCTAATTATTATTTAGTGATGTAAGTGAATGATATAAAATAACACAGTCTTCATGCATTCATTCATAAAAAAACATAATTTTTTTTTTTTAACGAGGGAAGTAATTTATAAAGACTTTTAGACGAATATATATATATTTTTATCAATTTATAATTTTGTAATACTAATATTATATTTTGCACAGCAAGTTTGCTAATGCAAATAAATTTACCCAATTAAAGATACTTAATTATTTATAAAAAATATTTCATAAAAAGAAAACGTGTTTTTTATATACTGAAACTTTTGAAAAGCTGATGAAAACCCCCCCCCAAAAAATGGTTTATTTACTTAAACGTGTTTACTTATGACATCTTTACTGTTCATTATAAAGAAACAATATTCTAATTTACTGCTCCGCAAATCAAAACATATATGTAAGCATTATTTCCCAGTTTATATGTATAAAAAATTTGCTTACAAAAATTACTGAAATTAATTTTGCTTTCAATAATTTTTTAATTTAGTAAGCTTGCTTATCGCTAATAGTTAATGAAAGGTTTTAGTGCATATTAGTTTTTTATTATGAGGACCAGAAATAGCTTTTAATAATTCAAAATATATATTGATTATTGTTTAAAATCACCAGATAAGTATGTTTGAAGTCCTTGGACTAAAAAGAATATGGGAGAGAGACGGGAAGGAAGCACATTTTGTCCCCTACCCCCAATTCTAAGAAACATTCTTTTCAAGTACGGAAAATCTGCCCAGTAAGTGGTCCCTGATTGTACACATTCTTTTGGCGAGAAAGTTTTTTAAAAAAAGGAGATAAATACTCCTGTTTTTAAAACTTTCTTGCCAAATGAATCTTTGCTTAGTTCCTAGTCCCAAAGGGGTCTACTTTCCTCTTTGCAAAAAGAGAGAACTAAACACTTTAAAAGAGCAAGTAAGTAAAATGTTTTTTCTCTTCAACACATGCATTTATTTTATTAATTACATAGCTTTTTATAATTAGTTTTATTCATTTTAATTGTATTTGTTAAGTTTTTAGAANAAATTTGCCCAATTAAAGTTATTTAATTATTTATAAAAAATATTTCATAAAAGTAGAACGTGTTTTTATGTACTAAAATTGTTAAAAAGCTGATGAAACCTAAAAAATGGTTTATTTACTTAAACGTCCTTAATTATGGAATCTTTACTGTTCATTATAAAGAAACGATATTCTAATTTACTACTTCGCAAATCAAAATATATATGTAAGCATTATTTCCCAGTTTATATGTATTAAAAATTTTTCTTACGAAAAGTACTCAAATGAATTTTGACTTCAATAATTTTTTAATTTAGTAAGCTTGCTTATTGCTAATAGTTAATAAAATATTTTAGTGCAGATTAATTTTTTATTATGAGGACCAGAAATTGTCTTTAAGAATTCAAAATAGATATTCATTACGGTTTGAAATCACCAGATAAGTATGTTTGAAGTCCTTGAACTAAAAAGAATGTGGGGAAGCACATTTTGTCCCCTACCCCCAATTCTAAGAAACATTCCTTTCAAGTACGGAAAAGCTGCTCAGTAGGAGGTCGTTGATTACTTCTATGTATAGAACAAGCTAAAAGATTCATTTGGCGAAAAGGGTGTAAAAAGAAGGAGATAAAAGTAGCCCCTAGTTTTCTTCTTTCTTCGAAAAATAGAAGTGGCGCCACTTGAGAGCAAGTAAGTAACAAGTTTTTTCTCTTTAGTTCATGTAATTTAAAAAATTTTTTAACTTATTTATTAAATAGCTTTTTAAAATTAGTTTAATTCGCTTTGATTTTATTTGATAAGTTTTTAGAAATTATGTTTTATAACTATAATACTTCAGTTGGCTATTTTATCTTATGCTTTCCTGTTGTTTAGTTTAAGTTGCTAGTTTAGTTTTAAAATGAATTAGACTTAGTTCACATATTTTATCCAACTTCAAAACACGATGCATAATAAGTTAAAATTTCAAGTCTAATTATTTACTTTAGATTTAGACCTGTCCTCTAAATTTTCCCTTACAATTCCTGACTAAATTTAATAGTCTTTTCCAATGATAATTATTTTTAATCAAAATCATCAGTAGTTTATGCTAAAATACAATATGCATTGAGCATAAGAAAGATAGTTGTTAAACATTCAATTTATTGTCAGTTACTAAAAATAAAAATATTTGCCATAATTTTAATACATGATCTTTCTCTTTCATTTAAATCAAAACTAATTTCATTTAAGTAAAAAAATTGTTTTTAACAAAAATTATGAAATATAAGAAACAGTTTTGATTTTGTTGATTTTTAACTGTTGTTATGACGATCATATTCTAATTAATTCCTTTTCTTTTATGGAAAGACAGGATGAAAGATCCCAGAAATGCCAATCCAGTAGTCAACAGAAAAGAAGGTAAGAACATATAGTGAAACATTATTTTGTCTAAGTGACATGAATTTTATCCCATATTTTGTGAAATAGGGTGACCCGGGGTAATTCACGATCACTGTGCTTCTGGGGAAAATAATAATCACCTAAGTTTTATTTACAAAAATATAAATATATTTTTTTAATTTGAGACATGGACAAGAATGCTTTCCTAAAGTGTAACTACATTTACATAATAATAGTTTTTTGTTAAATCTAACAAAATAAGTATCTTTTAAACTGCTTTCTGTATTTTCCATTTCAAAGATGGGTTTCAAAATGTGTACATTTCTACAAAAATCCTCCTCCTTCTCTTAATAATAAATATTTTGAGTTACTTTCTTTTTATTTGATATAAAAATAGTGTAAGCTTTTGTTTAATTGTTTTACATCTACTGTAAACATTATAACTGATTATAGGAAACTCTATCAAATGTTGCCCCTTACAGATGGGGTAATTATTGATCACTGGGGTAATTCCTGATCATTGTCATTTCTTCTTATAAATAGTATAAAAAATTGCTAATAAATAGCTAATTGACTTTTCTTAAATAACAGTTCTATTTATTAAGTGGGGCAATTATAAAATATCTGCACCGATGGTGTTCCCACCTTATTGTGGTGGTGTGGTTTGTGTGTGTTGTCGATCCCGAGAGCTATGCCGGAGGTAGCTTAGCTACTGGCAGGGTCACCCAAGCCGGACAGGTCGGAGGGGAGACACCAGACCAAGAGGAACACCCTGGTCCTCCAGGTTGGGGGTTGGGCGTGGGGCTAACTACCCCACCCCGGAAAAAAAGCTCAAGATAAGAAACCTCAACAAAATGCAAAACCCGGCCCACATCCACCCAGACGACTCGGAACGAAAAAGGACATGAGATTTGGAACATGGAACATTCGCACCTTGTATAAAGCTGGAGCATTAAAGAGCCTGATAGATGTATTTGTTGACTACAGACTTGACATCCTCGCAACCCATGAAATCAGATGGTTGGGCAATGGAATTATGGATAAAAAGGATTGCAGAATATACTACAGCTGCCAGGACAAAATTCACCAATTCGGTGTAGGTTTTGTCGTGAGAAAAAGACTGAGAAATACTTTCATCGACTTCCAGGCTATTAGCATGAGACTCTGTAAAATCAGGCTAAAAGGAAAACATTACAATACCACCTTAATCTGCGCTCATGCACGAACTGAAGAAAAAGATGCTTCTGAAAAAGATATCTTCTATGACCTGTTGATGAGAAGCATTAACTCGTGCCCCGCACAAGACATGAAGATCGTTATCGGAGACTTCAACGCTAAAATTGGAAAAGAGCAACACCTTAGATACCACGCGGGTGCTGAAAGCCTGCACCACTACACGAGTGAAAATGGACAGAAACTCTTTGATCTTGCTGTCTCAGAGAATCTGTTTATTTCTAGCACAGCATTCCCACATAAAGAAGTCCACAAGCACACCTGGCGATCCCCAGATGGATCTGCACATAATCAAATTGACCATCTACTTGTGGACAAGAGACACCGCAGCAATGTGCTTGATGTGAGAAGCTGTAGGGGTGCAAATGTAGATACAGACCACATACTCGTCGTGTCCAAAGTGAGACTTCGACTCTGTAAAAGTTTTTTTCAAAAGAAGGAAAACAAGGACTTTAAACTTGACATTTCTAAACTGAAAAATGACAAAATTCTTAAAGAGTATAACATCAA